TTTTTTTTTTTTTGTTTTCTTGCCTACATCCAATTTCACTTTCTTGGAAACGAACATTCATTGCGAGAACTGGGCCGTTACGGTAATACAGTTGTGGGTCTTGACTTGAAAGATTTGCCGTGATCCAATAGAGCCACTAAATAACCTGCCCACCCGATCGTGTCCTTACCCCAAGCCTCTATTTGATACGTCAAATATGTGGCGGATGAAGATTTCTATAGTCAAGGGCAAAGCCGTAAAAGAAAGTATATTGTCTGTAAGTCGTGTGTCTGCGACCATTGCAATTTAATTCACCGTAAGACTACTGTAGGAACCGAGTTACCGTACTGAATTTTTGTTCATGTCTCCCTATAAAGAAGTCTGGGATTTCGATTCCATTGGACTCTTTTTTCGCTTCTAAAAGGTCAATGGAATACACAATGTAGCAAGCGTACGGTTCGATCACATGCCTCGACTTATGTTGAAAGTGAACGACGTTCTGTCGGGAGTGAGGGAAATGGGAACACGGGAGATCGTATTATAAACCAGTTGCTGAGTTCCATTTTTACGATACACTCAAGTGGATATGGAAGAACTTTGGAAGGAATTAATTTAATATTGCTAGTTTTAACGGGTTTCTAGTGAGGTTTTGTCCAGCTTTCTAACATTTTCAGGAGGCTGCGATTGAAGGGATGCAATTTTGACGATAAATTTCGGGTGTAGCAAGCTGCACTGACAAGATTGATAGCCATTTTATGCGCATCCGATGGGAAAACCAAAATTCAAAGGTTGAAATATATGCATTCTTTTGATTTGGGCGTTCCTATGGAAAGATTGCAGTTGGCACTGGGTATATTTGAAAGAGATTTGAGGTTCCCTTTCCTAGTGACCTGTAAATTTCACAAATGCCCCAATTACTCACTTGCTCTCTTGTTTTTCTATTTTCTTTGGCTCCCATCATTCCGTTCTTATCTGTGCTGTTTATAAGAATTACTGCTAATGCGTATTAATTTCAAAATATGTCGTAGTAATTATTTTGATGTTAGTGGGAGGTGGCTTGGGAATGCTCTCCTTTGGAAGATGGACCTGTTCCAAGTCTCCCATCAACACAGTTACTGTAGTAACTCGTTTTTGCAAATGTCTAGTAGGGGGGAAATGGCATATTGTTCACTATCAGTCAGATGCTGTAACCGTGGGTGTTGTCACACACATTATCACCCGCGTCGACTGTTTCCCGCACGCTCATTCACAGGTGTCCTGGCCTGAGTGTGCGTCGTAGTCCTTGTTGCCTGTGAACTAGCCACAAAACACGGCCGCCGTCACTCACCTACCTATTGAATCTATCTACCGCAACAACCGTCGCCTCATTCTGTCGTCCTAGCAGCGGCATACCGCACATTAATCGAAAACGGGCCTTCGTTCGATATTCAAGTGCCCAACCATGGTTGCAGGAACATGGTCTGCTGCTAAATCAGCCCGTAAGCGATTGTTTCGGAAACGTCGAAGCCGTAAAGGCAGCAGCACCAGTAGTCAACATAACGTTCATCGATTAGTGATGTCATCTTCGTCAACACATGGTGGTGGTGGCTCGTCCGTGTCATCTCTGGCACTTCAAGAGGATGCTGTGTAAGTGATGATTTCTTTTCTTTTGTTACCACCATTATTCTTAAAATGCTGCTAATGACTTGAACTTATTGGCATGAAGTAAAAAAAGCAGTTCAAGGGAATGAGTGCGTTAATATTGATCGTAGTGGCTGTTTATTCGATTATACGTCCAACTAGTTCTTCTTTCTTTCCCTGTGCCTTAATTCTGGCCATGTTCGAGTAAACTACTTCGGACGACCTTTGGCTCACTAGTTTTCTGTGGAGACTGGATATTGGATGCCAACGGGTGTGGTGCGATTCACGCGTCAATATAATGAGGTTATCGGACAAAAAGCGCTAAAACATCATGCCTACCATCATAACGGCTGCCTTATAAGTGGAATAAGTGGAGAAATAACCATCTATGCACGTTTACAGAAGGATCGCATTCTCTAGGATCGAAAAAATCAAAGTTATTCTTTAACGTTTGGCAAGTAAATTGTAGACCTATGAGGATAATTCTCAATCTCGAAGGGGCTTTTTTGCCATAGTCAAGAGATTTGCTCTGTTCATGGTGAAGACGTGGACTACTGCAAANTTATTTGGTCCATCTCAACAGAAAAGTACTGAAACGATACTGCGTGCGTGAAGAGCTCTGATGGGGTCACGCGTGAATCGCGCGCCCCCCGGATGCCAACTGGGGGAGAGAAAGTTATGCAAAAATTCCTAAAATGTGCCGCGCTTCATATTTATTCACGCACTTTATGACTGTTTTTATAGAGTTTTTCACCAAAAAGAGTTTTTAGATTAGTTTTTCATCAAAAAGAGGGGAACCACCAAAAAGAGTTTTTAGATTAGTTTTTCATCAAAAAGAGGGGAACAGGGAAAGAGAGCGCAGTGAAAAAACCATCAAAACCGTTGTGTTGGTGCTTAATTGATTAGGATCACTTCAGGTGTAAAATCATGACTGAACTTGAATTTTATGACTTTTTTGTGAATATGAAATGTTCCGGAGAAAGTGAGACTGTAAGTGTGAACGCTGTTTTGTTTTCAGCGAAGAAAAAGCAGGATGGCTCAATAAATGGACCAATTATTTGAAAGGTTATCGCCAACGATGGTTTGTACTCGATTCAACGGCAGTACTCAGCTATTACAGGTGATTAATACGCTATGATTAATATTGATTTTTTTGTCTCGTGGTGAATCGAGATCGGTTTTCGAAAAAGCAAAGTGAAAACTAGTGGGTATGAGCAAAGGAATTATGCCAAAGTGCAAATTCAGTTTCGATAAGGGTGGTTTTTGTGACTGTACCGCAGCTGTCGTGTGAGTAGCCATTTATCTCCAATTTACTCCATTTGTTTTTGTCAACATTTGATCTTGAACTTCAATATTTTCGCCCATTTCCCTCCAGAACACCAGTTTTTTTCAGTAATATGATAAGCTCTATGGCAAATTTGTCATTTATAAAACCTGATTCCCTTAACTGCCGAATTATACGTATACTTGATGGCTGATGTTATATTTTGAAGGGTATGCTGAAAATGTGAGCAGAGCTCAATAAGTTATTTCAGTCCCTGAAGGAAAAAACATTACGGTCACCTGATATTTTGTCATCTTACATAGACAACAATCTAATCAAGTTTTTCATCTTTTTTGTTATATATGGATGTTGTCGCTCAGGCACCACGTTGGACAGCGCCTCTTTTTGCCCGGCATGTTGTTTACCACTATTACAGAATAGCCACTTTTTCATAACTGTGGCACTGATCTATCAAGAGTAGCTCTCCCTCATATAGGTTTAGCAAGAGATTGAGTTCTTCCACAGGACGGCACTGAATGAATACCTCTGCCTCGACGTATCCAGCAGTTCAACGCTAAAAGAAACGGATTGATATTGGAAAAATGGGCTCATTTGATTGTGAGATGCCATAGAGGAGGATTTATAGATGGTCATTTGTCTCTCGGAAGAAAGAAAGAACAGGAAACGTGCGATTTACGAAGCCAGTTTTCCCATAAATGTTGGTCATGTTTCACTGCAATCTGCACCTTGCCTCTCCATTTGTCCCATTTGGTTTCGACTACCTCATTTCTCTTAGGGCTCCATATTGTCGTGGTTCACGGGTGCATCGCCAGCTATACCGGTTTTTCGATGAGGTCGTTGAGCTGAAACAGGTTGTGCCTGTTTGTTCAGCAGCTACAACTTCATAGGCGACTACACTATAGCCCAGTGATCACTATGTGATGACGTTGGCTGTGTGAATATGTTGTACGACGTCAGAAAAAAAGGTGTTGCGGCAGGCGACGAGGATTGGTGAAGATTATAATCGACGACGACGACTTTTTTCTGTTTGACTGCAATCGAATTCATGTCAACGAGCTTTCCCGTGGTCTCACCGACCGTTCGCGTACTTATCGATCATTCTGCGATGTCATGATTCCCATGCAAATGTTTGTTTTGGCGATTCAACTATCGCTGTCAGAAGTTCTCCTTTTAAGCGTACCAGGAACTTGTTACCATGGGTTCAAGCTTGTTTTGATTGACTGCCAGCTAGTACTTATTTCCGAAATAATTTGGAAATTTTGTTGTGTACTTTGCTCCCACTCATTCTTTTGCCACATGTGAACACTTTCTGGGAAAATTTTGATGGCCCACTTGGCTCATTAGCGTTCTTATTGGCTTCCACATGAAGTTAATATAGTCGAACGGAGCATTTATCTGATTTCGACGAACTAACGCATACAGGAACTTAGTCCCACGTGGGTGGCTGGCTGTACGGCGTCAAATCGGATGAACGTTTTTTCAAATTGTTTTCGAACTGTGGGGTCAATATTTTCAGTAGCATCCCTCGTTCTCTTTACGTAGGTGGCTGGAAGTTCTTCCTAGATGTTTTAAAGTTTTTTAGTAGTCTAGGAATCTGATGAGGTTTTATCAGCGGCTCTGAACACCATCAAGTTGATTAAGTGCAGAGCCATTAATAAAGGACTTGAAAGCTCGCTCGTCAAACAGGCTTTCTTCATGCATTCCTCTGCTCGTAACTGTGGAATGTTCATTTTTAAACTGAGCTCTTTGCTTTGTCGGCCCATTTTACGGCGACAATAATGACCATAAGAACTTGTTTCACTCGCTGTTTTTGTGGAATTCTTTTAGAAGGCTAAGTAAGCTTGGATCCCACGTAACCCCGTCGATGTTCCATTCTTTTGACATTTCTTCAGTTGTGTCGCTTGATCGCTTACCGTGAATTCACGCAATTGACGTCAAGACAAATAGACTTGCTGTTCAGCTATGCTGTACTTCAGAATATCATTCGTATTCGTTGATGTAAGAAGAATAGTGGAGAGTTCGCTGACTTCGAATTGTGTCGTGAATGCGGTGAACCGGCACTGGCGTCTACTATCGACGCGTCAAACTAGCGCTGGAAAGCAGCAGCAGCAGCGTTGAGTGATAACGACGATACGCTGACGACCTGCGCACGCACCAGGTCGTCGCACAGTGCTAAACGGCGATCGACGTACGGTGCGACGGCGAAGACGGCTAACAGTGTGTATGGCAAGCCTACGTGGACGTCTTCGTAGAGCTCGGAAACGGATTACAGCTTGCTATTTTCCGTTGTCAAGGCGTTCACGGAAGATCGGCAGTGATGCGGATGTGTACCATTCGGCCGCTGAATCATATCAGCACCTTCCACATCATCAGTAGGTTTCTCCGGTTCTTTTTGGTACTTTTCTTACATAATATTATATTACTCGTGAGTTATTTTGCTGAGCCTTTTTGGCTTCTTCTGGCCCTTCCCACTGAAGTTAGTTTCGGCTCCCTGCGTTTCTCGTACCGTACCACCTCGTTCCATTCCCTTTTCTTAATTATACCTTATTGTTGAGCATGAGTTTTTGGGAGTAGAGGTTGTATGAAATCTTTCGAGTCTAATTCTATCAAGTAAGTTATTCTGTTATCGTCTGATCTGTTCGACAGCTATTTTTAATTCTTTTGTAGACGCTTGCATGACGTGGTCTTGTTTGCGAATACAGTTCAAGAACAGTACCTCCCTAAATAGGAAGAAAATGCTGTCGATCTTTAGACTTCGATTTCCTTCCAAAACCATCTATAAAATTTATCAACGGACGTTTGTTTTTGTTTTGGTGAAGTAGTCCTTTTCTTTCTAAAGTTTGCCCCTTTCAGTAGGACTATTGAGGAACTCAATTTTCGCTGTATGCTTACCTTTCGGACCACTTTTTTCGTCTTTGTCGTCAAGGAAACTAAATTGATAGCAACAGTGGAGTTTTCCACATTTTTATCCACCTTTTTATTCATTCTGGGAACAAAGTATATTGATCAATTCCGTTGAAAAGAAAGGCCGAGACGCATAAAACAATGGCTTTCATAAAAAATCACTCAAGAAATAAAATGATATGATGGGATAGCAGTGATAAGAGACGTCGCATCGATTTGGTCAACACGATTATAGCTAATTTGGTCCTGTTTCTGTGTAAACTTACTGTTTTCTAGTTGGTGCCGTTGTTAAATTTCTTGTGACTGAAATACTCTTTTTCGTTTCAAATAATGCCCTGGTGGAACTCGTCTCGTCGGATCTTTTCAAGTGACTTTCATCTGTTTAATAACCTGGTCGATAACTTCGTTTGGCGTAAATTTAGTGGCCATAGGGTCCACTAGATCTCTAACATTTTGACATAAGAGTTTGCTGCCCATACAAGGGTGTTTTTGTTTGCTTATCGTTTTCTTCACCTTTCCACTATAAGTTTTCTATACTTCTTATCGATATCAAAGTACATAATTCTAGTTGAAAAATCCTTATATTTGTATAAACTCAGTACGAATCAGTTCACTAACCGGATGTTTTCGGAGAGATTTTTCGAGGGGGAGCTGAACTAACCTTTGATACAATCCTAATCTTTTACCGGTTCTGAATAGCTTTTGTAATAGTTTGTGACCTGATCTATAGGTCGATTGAGTATCCATCGAATATCTTTCTTATACTGTATGTGAAATTAGTTCCTTCGTGTAAAGTTATCATCCGAAAAATGGGCACATGACTCAGCGCGGTTATCTGAAGGTAGTTCTGTCAGTCGTTTACAGTCTCCACGGAAATTGATTTATTTGTGATTCTTAGTGTCTGTCTCCGAAGACTGGCACTGTGAAAGTAGATATTGGCTAAACCTGTCTCTGAAGTGCAAGCAAACTTTTGGAGTACGGGAATAACTTT